TCCCAGTAAGCTCTGGATGCTCTGAGTGCTCTGGCCGCATGATTTCACACTTGTCTCCCACATGTCTCGACTTGGCTCCCAGTAAGCTCACTTGTCTTCCACTTGTTTCCCATGGCCTGTCTGGATGCTTTGTATCCCCGGCTTGGCTGGATGCTGGGCCGATTAATTTTTTGATGCGCACAAGGTCGTTGCTCTGTTGTATTTCTGGTGTTTCGAGTTTGAAAGCTGCATTGGCTGCACTGGGCCGTCGATGAGTTTGCCGGCTCAGATCATGAATGACGCATGGTTTAGTGTTGCAGTTTGCCAAAGGGACAGCTCGCCATCTTGCGACATGTCATCAGACAAGCTTTGTTACTGATTGCTTTTCGCGAGTGTTGCAACATGCGGAAAGCGCGAAAAGCTCCATCTCCATGGCTGCCCGTCTGGAAGTGCCAGTTTCAGAAGGAGAATCCTAAGAAGGCAGGCCATCATGAGAGCTTGGTTTTGGATCCAACAACATGGATATATATATATACTTTTTACTGTATGTATGTATGCATGTATGTATGTATGTATGTATGTATTATATATATATATTTGTAGCATATGCAGATGTATGTTTACATATATAAAAATGGTATGTAAAATGCGGTCTATATATACATATGTATGTTTTTAGGTCTTTGAGTATGCAAATATGTTCTGTGTCATGGCAAGCGGCAGGCACATTCTCTTGCTTGGCACCGCTTTACAAGTTATGCTGCGGCTGTGACTATTGGAGAAGCTTTTTGCGGCGGAGCCAATCACAGGGACTTGGATTTTGATTATCAACGAGGCTATATGACGTGTCCTGAAGCAGATGAGCAGATTAAAGCTGATTTGGAGGAGCAGGTTGGGGTTGCTGGGAGGGAGGCTTTGATATGGATTGATTTTTGTTATGGCTGCTATGTTTTTGTACTTTTGAGCTTTGCAAGTGGCGCCATTCGGTGAGCGCATTGGAGGAAAGTCTTGTTGAAGCTCACGTGCCTGAAGCTCCAGATCACGACGAACCGGCAGAGAAGGCATTGTTGCTTTAGTGGTGTGCCATTCAATTAAAGCTTTGCTTTGCTTTGAGATATGAATGAACATGTAAGCAAGCGCGTTCTTTTGCCAGGATTTGGTGGCAATTCATGTGAATGAGGATGATTTGCCGGCTGTGGCAGTTTGTGATCGATTCTTGTTGGAGACTATGGTCAATGGAAAGACAGATGCAGTTGAGAAAAGTTTGCCGGATAACGATATCATCTTTGTTGTTAGCAAGGGCGTTCAGACCGATGATATAACAGAGCTTGGGGCTTTGTCCTGCACTTCTGCTTGCGCTGGGGGTCACTCTCAGTGATGGATGGTTGATTGTATCGATGTCAACATTTTGGTTGCAGTCACGTGGCATGTGACATGATGAAAAGCGGAATCCATACTGTGTGACCCTTTTTGGCACCTGGCTGCCCTGACTCTGAAGAGTCGTTGTGGCAGATGGCCTGCTGCGGGTTCATGAGGGTTGCGTGATGGTAGCCAAAAAGAAGATGTTTTTACTGACTTGCGAAGGCCAGCATGTTTGAATGCTTTTTTGCCGTTGCGGTGCTTGTCAAACACTGTTCGCAGCAGAGCAATGCCATTGCGTAACCATGTGTTCAGGATCGAGGAAGTTTGTTTGTTTTTTAAAAAATATTGTTATTTTACATATCTTTTCGGGATGCTGAAGTGAGCAGACATTAGCATTGTTTGCAAGAGTCGTGCGGTTTTTGTGTTTGCTTCAAGAATTCGATTTGTTGATCAAGGATTTCTTTTTGCCAGATTGGGTGTAAACAACACTTTCGATCTTTTAAGGGGGGGCAGGGCAGCGCAAAAACACATTTTCAACTGCACTGACAACATTCAAACAACATACCAGGGGAATGATCACAAGGGTTCACCGTAATGTTCTTGCGTCGCAACACGATTCCACGGGTTTACTCGTTGCGACGAGTAAAAAATCCGTAGAAGTGCGGCTTCAAGTATGGCTATGCTGTGCCGCGAATTGATTCTGCGTTTTGATTTGCAAATGTTATTCCTTGTCACAGCCTTTGTTTTATGTTCGGAGTGGGTGCATGTAGACACGATCATTGCGTTGGCCGTGATAGGCACGACGGCTGAACGATGTATTGCGGAAAATGCAGCGACGCAAAAGCTTGTCAGTCAAAGTACGTGAAGGTTGGCCTTGCAAGTCTCGTTGAGCGCTTGAAAGTTTGGTTACTGCGCCAGAATTCCCATGAATTTCATTTTGCTTAATGTGCCGAGCTCGCCAAATTGCTGAATTGCAGACAGCTCTCACAAGTAATGTGCAGATAGAAGAGGGTAAAAATCAAGAAGGTTGCAACGGCTTGCTCTCCCACATCAGTGCTGCAACCTGCCGCAAGCGACCGCCTTTGCACGCTGGAGCAAGTGACCGCTCGTGACCCCACCGCAAATGCGCTGCATTAATCCAGCAAGTAACCGCCACTGCCCGCTGGAGCAAGTGACCGCACGTGACCCCACCGCAAGTGCGCCGCAAGTGGCCGCAAGTGACTCCAGCAAGCAACCGCCACTGCCCGCTGGAGCAAGTGACCGGACGTGACCCCACCGCAAATGCGCTGCAAGTGAATCCAGCAAGTAACCGCCACTGCCCGCTGGAGCAAGTGACAGTACGTGACCCCACCGCAAGTGCGCCGCAAGTGACTCCAGCAAGTAACCGCCACTGCCCGCTGGAGCAAGTGA